AGAGAGAGAGAGAGAGAGAGAGAGAGAGAGAGAGAGAAAGAGAGAGAGAAAGATCTGTCTGCTATGAAGGAAAGCAGCGATCTGTCTTTATGCATTTTTAATCATTGCATCGACGTATTCTGTTGATATAATCTGGATCAAAGAATGGTTCCACTCACTGACCAAATCATGCAGAAACAGACGTGTCCCAAATCTGAGAAAATCTGCGCACGGCAACCGAACAGGGATTATGGTGTTGAGGAACACTGACAGAACAATAACCTATTCTCCTTTAGGTCCAGCCCCTTTCTATTTGACTGTTCTAAAACACAGGAAACAAAGTGTTTTTTATGAGAGAAAAAACAAAACAACAATAACGACAAGCCCAGCTGTTTCATTTTTACAAATGTACCCACATAACGTATATTTTCTAGCTTCATTTCATTTTTAGAATTTGAATTTTGACAAAAGTATTTTTCAAGCACACGCATCCGACACCACAGATTAAAAAATTGCAACTGAAAAAAAAAATGAAATGTTGAGCTCAGTACATCTGAACAGCTAGCTGGTCAACGTACTGTGCGTATGCCCCCTGTCGCTCCCCCTCCCCCCCCCTCCCTCCTCGAAAAAGCAACCGCCCTCCCTCCCCCTCCCAAACAAGACCCAAACCAGAAACACCGTCCTGTCCAACGCCACTCGCACGACTCCATTTGCCAATGTAAAATCCATAAATCGAAGCCATAGTTGTTTACAAGGATGTCTTCCGGGTCTGGGACGTTTCACTTTGTTACTGACTTTAAATCTGTGCCCTACTTGATTTACTCTTCGCCTTATAAAAAGAACGGTGTGGCCGCGAGTAAGGGCTGGCAAGAAAAAAAAAGGGGGGGGGGGGGTCTGATAAGAACTGTCTAAGCAAAAATAATACCAAACCTAGTTGTCTTCCCGAGAAAAAAGGGGGGGGGGGAGCTGGGGATGGGGTCTACTGAATTATGATAGGGAGTAAAACTGCAGGAAAAGTAACAGTAGAGATATCTACTAAATGCATTAAATCACTTATCATGTTTTGCTAGTATTGACATCATAATGTACTTCCTTTTACTTCCAAAATCCATTAATTTATTAACAAGTCTTCCATAGAAGA